CACCTTCCATTAGTGCCGCTTTCTATCCTTGTTTCATGATAGGATTCGATAACAGGATATGTACCACGGAATATAAAGCAGTGGGTGCGTGCGTTGTGCTTTACTTAGAGAGTAGTTCCAAGCGCCCGGTTTTATACTCGTCTAATACGTAAAACGTTAGAGAAAACCGTCTGATATATGAGTACACAATTAAGGGAGTGCTTCAACATCGGGTTTCCTGCTGCTACGGGCTGTTATGCGTGCTCTCCTGAGGAGTTGGTAAGAATCTGTTCTCTCATAAACACTTGTTACGAGAAAAATCAAACTTTTCAGAGTCGAATTTCTGCCAAATTAGCATGTGCTCTCCCGAAACAGACACCTTTTCAAATATCGTCGACGTCAGCTCGTTGCATTCAAAATTATTGTGAAAAGACGGTGATAGTTGGTGGAGGGAAGTGGTATGCTTTTCGAAATTTTCAACTTTCCATGGGCTGGCATTTATAATTCGCTTTCATTCAGATGCTCCTGTGGCTGTTTCTGAGACATTGACAAAAGGACTCACTAGCACCATCAATTCCTGCCACTTTGTGAACTCCAAATATGGTAGCGCCTGCACTAGACATGAGGATGTAAAAGGAATCACGCTGAAAAGCCTTTCCGCTGATTCACATTCGGGTAATTCAACAGTTTACAGTAATTTCTGATATGAAAGAGTACCTCTGCTTGCATCGTAATGCTCAAGAATATATTCTTGTCACAAAATCAAAGATTTTGGAAGGCACATTTCAAAATGCGAGCTAGAAATAAGGTTCAATTTGAAGGAGTTGAGGCCGACCAAGTAGCCAGTGAACAAGGAGGAGAAGAATTCATTGAAGCGCTCTAAATAAAGCCCTTACCAGTGGTAAAACAGCCTGTTAAAAAGCAGTCTAAGGAATACTGGATGCTGGGTCGAGAAAACAGCAGATGGAGACGCGGGAGGGAGCTCGATGGCACACGGCAACAGTGGGCGTGCGTGGTTGAAGACGCTAGTGCGATAAAGTGGAGGTCCAGGAAAAAAGAAAAGGTACATGTTCATTGTGGAGTGAGGAGAGAAGGCCTTGCGCCATTAAGGGAACGAGACAAGGTGCGTCTTGCTGCGAAGAACGCGTCCGTGACGGCCGCACAGGGTTACCTGCAGGGGTTGAAACTTCTCGGTTGTCCACGCCCACCAAGCGATTGGGTGAAGAGCATTCCACTTTGAGCAGTGGTGTCCTGCTCCAAGCAAGGTAAACGTCATGCTCGCACTTTTTCGAAAGTATTGTGACCCCCTCCCCCTTTGGAGGGTCTCGATGCAACCCACCAGTCTTAGAAAGCTCCCCCGATACGATCCCCTTTCCCCTTCCTCCTTCGTCCACCACCTTT